CATCACGGCGATGTCTCCATCTATCGGCAAAGTACCAAACCAGGATGCGCACAATTACCCGCTGCGCACAATTCGCCCACTTTCCGCTATATCGCATTATTGCTTCATCTCAGTAGGTGAGTTGACTTATGATCAGTTTTTTATTTTGATTCATATATTATCTCAGTATGTATTTTAAAATTTTTATTTTCTCAATTGTAGAACCAACGAGGATGATCTCGATGATTTGAGTTGCACAGATATAGAGCAACAATGGGGAAAGCTCAAGACATCTCATCATAAAGAATATGAGGCACGACGAATTTTTTTCAGAATTGTGCCATGTCAAACATCAACGAAATGTATATACTACTCAAATACCAGAGATTACGCCGGCACTTGAAGAAAAGTGGAAAGACATTTTATTACGTTGCAAGTCTCTATAATATTTGATTTATTTTATATCGTATATATTACTTCATATTAGCAAATATAAATTTGTTAATACGAAGCATTGCAAGTTAACAAAAACTTAATTGAAGAAGATTTCCACTTAATAGATCTTCTTAAGCCTTTGAGCTTTGAATAAAAAAAACCTGGAAATATATTTATATATATATATATACAATACATATACATATGTATATATTAAGACAACTGTTTGTCATATTAAACAATTGTGTACGAGGCCATAGATAAAAAAATAATCATTGATAAATTTGCAATGCATAGATTTGGGAAATAAAATCTGCAACATCTTATGGTGACTGTAATATATGACATGTTACTTGAACTTTTCAGCTGTTCCATTGAGTGAATATTCAATATTTGTTAGCAGATTAAGAATGAGTTGCAGTAATGTTTATACAGAAGATGAAAATAATAGATCAAGTAATCAACAGATAGAGAAAGCAAATATTGCTCGGCATATTCTAACATTTAAATCATGGAGAGTTTACAGTTGCCTAAAGTATCTCACAGATATTAGGCTTTCATTATGTGAATATGAAGTACTAGAATTCTATAAAAATTATATACAGTTAACTTTGGACGAAAGTGTTCACCTTGCTTTGAAGACAATTCAAGGAAGCGATGATTGGAATGTAGAACGTAAAAAAAGGATTACCGGAAGCAAGGCATATAATTTATTTACTTATTCTTTCAACAAACATCCGAATTGGGACAAAAAATATAATCAAGTATTTCACAATACATTTAGTGGCAATGAAACTACAATTCATGGCTTACGTTGTGAAGGACCGGCTAAAGAAAAGTACGCTGATGAAACAAATTCAAAGCTTATTGAAACTGGACTTTTAATTCGACATAAAGTTCCATGGTTGGGATATAGTCCTGATGGCATTGTAATGAATGATAAACTGGAATCTGCCATTCTGTTTGAATTGAAAAGTCCAAAGGAAGGCAAACGTTTGGATGCAAATGATTTTATTGCCATGCATGCAATCAAATCTTTTGATGTTCATGGTAAACTACGTAAAAAATGTACACATTATGGTCAAATTCAACTTGCAATGCTTTTATTAGGACTCGATTATGCTGATTATGTAAACTATTCTTCATTTGGACATAATTATATTTACGAGCGTGTTCCTTTTGACTTTGATTTTGTACTTAATATGACTGAAATATTATGTTCGGTATATTTTGACGAAATGTTACCAAGAATTATGAAAGATTTTAATGATGCAATTAATAATAATAATATTTAATAATAATTACATGTATAGACATAGATCTTAATATTAAAAAAAAAAAGTTCTTGACACTACATTAAAAAACGTTATTATCAGATTACTTAAAAATTATAAGTATTTTAAAGAATAAATTTACGAATATTTGTCTATGTTGAGTACTGGTGCACTCAGATTTACAATAGCTGCCATAATTATTAAGATTTCATCAAAATATGTGATTAAGTTCCATGGTATTTCATCAGACAAGAAAGAAAACTCCCTCAATCTTTGAATAGCTCGTTCCACATGTACTCTTGCTCGGGCTATTTCAGCAGTACGAAGTGCTTCTGCCTTTGAAAGTTGTAGCTTTTTCTTTAGAAAAGATGGTTGTATAAGAATAAGATGTCTCTCTGTAAAAAAAATTTTTATATTTAGTACACAAAATTAATGTAATAATTAATGTAAGATTATAATGAAAGCACATAATAAATCTTACTTGTAAACATTCATTTTCAATTAGAAAGTCTCTGTCCATCATTACAGCATCATAAGGATCTAACTATCAAGTATTCCAGAATCAATAACGATAAATTTATCGGATGATCTACCTCCATAACTGCTACTGACATGTACTATAAGACCAGACGGCGTCACGGCAACATTCCATTTGATTGTATGGCGTTTTTTATAATTTGAATAAGTCAATATTCTGCACTTGACACAATGTGGCTTTTCAATAGGAATTTCTGCACAATCCATTATAATTCGTGTGGTATTGAAGTTTTTAAAAGCAATAGGCATATTAGATCGTATTATCTCCCGGTCAGGCCATGGTATCATTGTTTTTAAAACAAGTGCTAAGAGAGGTATCATATTCTTAAAATAATTAGTACACGTTTGATGTGTGATACCAAATAACACAGCCAGCGCCGAGAAGGATAAATTTTGTTTCAGCTTCACAAAGGTCAAGATTACTCTGTTTTTCAGATCCATTTCTTTTCTTTTGCTTACATTTTTTATTTCGAAATCAGAAACACACGTAACAGTACCATCCAACAATTCAAATGAATGCAATCCCGTAAAAGTATTTAATTTTACTTGATCAGTTA